GGTGTCAAAATGAAAGACAGCCCACACACCTATCAATCATCAAACCGTGGGGTCTTATTTCATTACGTGTTGATTTCTACCAACATTTTTTTATTTCTAACGGGGGAGTACTTCAGGAAAGTTGACGGGGGGGGGGGACTAGTGGAGTACTTCGTGACCACAGAATGTCAACGTTGTGATCAGCTGTTTTAGCGCAGTTCTCCAGTGAATGGGGGAGTCTCACTCCGTAGCCGGTTGGCGTAGTTTTGGCACAATTCCGTTGTACAGACGGACGTTAACAGCAGCCCTGTCTGTGCACACGGCGACCAACTCTGTCGTCCGGTGATCTAACCGCCTTCTGGAAAAGCTTCACAAGTACGTCGGTACGCGAATGCGCTTTGTGACACAAGTGACGGTACGCATTTCAGATAACGCACATAACCTGCGTACCAGTTATGTGCACCCCTGTACTACAGCAAAAGTATTCTCCATCGGGACTTCCTGCAACAACACCACGCCGTTATCTTGATTCTGATTGGCCAGAAGACATTATCAAAGATGTTCTATTGAGAAGACGATCACTACGTGACAAAAGTTTTCAAAAAACAGACAAGTGGCTACTGAAATCAATCTTACTAACTGCTGTCTGTGCAATTTACTCGGCGCGAGTTGGCGGACTTTATTTTGCTTACTTTAACATCCTTTTTCATGGTGGGTTTAAGCCATTTCTTGGTATGGATATAGCCTACCCCAGCCATACCCTGGCGCTGCCACTGGCGGGATGTATGGGGTGGGCCATTCTGCACATGCGTTAAATGCGTTAAATATTTTAACACAATTAATTCAAAGTGTTCCAGAGAGTCGGCATTCCTGATAGCAGAGGGGAGAGAATTCCAGAGGGTGGGGGCTTGTGACACTGAAGGATCTGTCGCCAAAGGACTTCAGCTTGGAGCGCTGGATGGAGAGCAGCCCTGTGTTGGAGGACCGCAGCTGACGAGAGGGGGTGTAGGGCTGAAGGAGGTCAGCGATGTATGCAGGGGCTAGGGAGTGGAGAAATTTGTAAGTTAGCAGGAGGAGTTTGTACTGGATGCGTGACTTGACCGGGAGCCAGTGAAGGTGGAGGAGGGTGGGGGTGATGTGTTGCCAGGGCTTAGTGCAGGTGAGGAGCCTGGCTGCAGAGTTCTGGACATACTAGAGCCTGTCCAGGGCTTTGCTGGTGACCCCGAACAACTCCATTGCAGTAGTCCAGACAAGAGGAGATGAAGGTATGTATTAATGTTTCTGCAACGGGGTCGGGGAGAGAGGGCCGGAGTCTGGAGATGTTTCGAAGGTGAAAAAAAGCGGTTTTGACAGTANGATTTCTGTATGATTCCAATCGCTTTTTAAAGTCAAAATCAGCCAATTTGCCGAGCTCCGCTACAACTTACACTAGGCTCGCTGGTCTCATCATATAACGGCAATGAAAAAAGCACCAGGGGAGGCAGCCATAACCTCTGCCGCACTGAAGGGGGCGCACGTGAGCCCACAGGTTCTTGTTGCTACTGTTATTCAACCTAGAGACGGTAGACACAAACAACCAACTAGACTTTTGAAACTACTAAAAGGACTATATGAGGCTTATGCATTGTACCAGATGTAGGCTAATTTGGTAGGCTAAGTCAAAAACAGGCAACTGATCGTGTGTGAAAGGTAATTTATGAGGATGAAACAAATAAAATATACAGAATACAATGCCATTTTATCTGTTTTATTATTAGTGTAGGACAGATATGTATGTATAACACCTGAAGATGTTTTATTCATGTTATCACATAATTGTACAGGATATAGCTATATTATTGCACATATTTGAGTTCTATCTACACATGAATATCTGATTTGTAAAACATCACACAACAAGCAATATGTGTGTTTGCTAAACAGAGATAAAACATCACACAAAGTGAACAGTCAAAACAATTGTTATCAACTTTATTGTTATGGGACCTTGTTTACATAGTGTTTCAGAGTAGACATGTAATAACATCTGAATAAAATGAAATGATAGAAAATGCCTTCAACAACATATCAACAACCTGAAGAATAACTTACTGGACATACATATTAAGACATTAAGAAATGTGTCATTTTTTTTTTGTCGGAGGGCTGCAGCTGAGGAGAGGGGGTATAGGGCTGAAGGAGGTCAGTGATGTATGCAAGGGCTAGGGAGTGGAGAAATGTGTAGGTTAGCAGGAGGAGTCTGTACTGGATGCGTGACTTGACCGGGAGCCAGTGAAGGTGGAGGAGGGTGGGGGTGATGTGTTGCCAGGGCTTAGTGCGGGTGAGGAACCTGGCTGCAGAGTTCTGGACGTACTGGAGCCTGTCCAGGGCTTTGCTGGTGACCCCGAACAGAACTCCATTGCAGTAGTCCAGACGAGAGGAGATGAAGGTATGTATTAATGTTTCTGCAACGGGGTCGGGGAGAGAGGGCCGGAGTCTGGAGATGTTTCGTAGGTGAAAAATGCAGTTTTGACAGTAGACCTGATGTGGGAGTTGAAGGTGAGGCTAGAGTCCAGAGTGACGCCCAGGCCTGCGTTAAGATGGTCAAAAGAGCCCCATCATGTTGGTTTGCCTCTGATTGTTCTCGATGAAGAGAGAGGATGTGACATGGACTTTAGGTCCCTACTGAGGGAGCAGAGAACGGGGCAAAATACAGAGAAATGGCTGTTGGTCGTTAGCTTTCCACCAAGAACTTTAACAAGCTCCAAGAACAACATTTTGTGCAAACACTCATACAGCATTTTGTGTGCCCAGGCTTGAAGAATTAGAAAATGCAAATATTGTCCCTTTATCTCACACTGCATCCGCGTCTTGAAGTGACAAGATGTTGGTATCATCAGTTAGCTTTCACAGTGACGTCACTCAGAGACAGTGTCTCCAGAGCAGGGTATGACGCTGTCTCTGTGTGAGTCAACACTGAGTGCTATTGTGTAATAAAAAATGAAACTATCAGCAGTATCACTTCTTCTACCCCTCTCTCACTGGTCCCATTGCTCTGTATACTTGATGTTCGACTCCACTGCAGAGAAATATAATCTGTCGCATACCACTATGATAAGTCAAAGCTTATTTTTAAATAATGTTTTTATTTTTAATCCAAAGTGAAGTTGGGGAGCAAGGCAGGACAGTTTTTGCCACCTCCACTTAGTTAAAAAGCCCTCGTCTAAGTGAGCCACGGGAAGAACGAGCACCCCCCAATAAATAAATCAACAAACAACTCGTATAATTTTCTTCAGCTCAACCAGGACAAAACTGAGCCCTTAATTATTAGTTCTGGAGCTCAGAGAGAGAAACTGGGTTCAGAACTTCATTAACTACATATAAAACCTTGCCAACAAGTTGAGAACCTAGAGGTAATCTTAGACTCGGAGCTACACTTTGAACCACATATCAGAAATATAACAAAAAGAGCATTTTATCATCTCTGGAATATTGCCAAAGTACAACTGTTTCTCTCTCAGGCCAGTACAGAGACACGGATGCACGCTTTGATAACATGTAGAATCCATTACTGCAATACACTACTTTCTGTTAAGCCTAAAAAGAATATTGCATCACTATAACTGCTGCGAAACTCAGCTGCACGTGTTTGAACGAGGACCAGAGCACACATCACCACCATTGTAACGTCTCTGCACTGGCTCCCTGTGAGCTACAGAATCCATTTGGAAATACTTGAATTGTTTTTTTAAACTCTTTATGGTCTTGGGCATAGCTATTTATCGGATTTGCTTTTAACCTATGAGCCCTCTAGAACCCTCAAGTGTTCTGGTACTGGCCTTTTTACCGTACCCAAAGGTAAAACAAAGACCCACGGTGAGCATAATTTTATTATCACAGAGATGTGGCTGTGGTACAGCCTCCAGAGGATCTGAGGCAGCAGAGAGGGATCACACTTTTAAGATAAAAAATCAAGACCCACCTTTTTAAATTTGACTTTTAACTGAATTGTATTTTATTATTCTTTAAAAATTGTGTATTGTATGTATGTATGTATGCATACATATATATAAATGTATACAGTGTATATCGCGAAGCTATGAGTTGATTATTAACCTGGAAGGGAGAGATAGAATTGTTTCTATTTGTGAATTGTCTATGTTTTTTTGTGAAGCACTTTGTGTTACCACTGTGAAAGGTACTATATAAATAAAGCTTGATTTGATTTGAAGGAGCAGGTCATTATATCTATATATGTACTGTATGCAATATTTAAACGACAGCCTAGTTTAGTATTGTTTACAGGCTGTTAGCAGAGGAATCTGTTACCCAAACAGAGAGTGGGGTTATGTTGTGGAAATACATCTTAAAAATGTGTCCTTGACTATTTTACTTCATTGACTCTTACCGTTGCTTGTGGTGTTGACGTAGTATCTGCAGCCTTGTGGAGACATGTAGCATCTCCACTGAGGAGGCAGGGGGTCTCTGAGCCCCTCCACAGGGAGCTGACAGAGAGATGCTGTCCTCTGTCGAAACACACAGTCAGCTTGTGTCAATAACCACCAACACTTTGGATTTGAATTTCAAACACAAGATGTATTTCTTAAAACTTAAGACTGCCTAAATAAAAAAAAAAGTGCAGTAGGTAAAACATTTAACAGAATTTAACAAAAACACTGAAGGCTCTAAAATTGTGCAACAAAAAAAGTTTGACTTCAATTAGGTTCCCACTTCCTCAAGTATTTCACAACCAGCAGCCAATGACTTCAGAGTTGAGCAGGCTGCATGGAACTACAATATGTACCGTACATGCACACAAACTGTGATTATAGTCTGCATAATGTGTTTGTGAGAGTGGCAAGTACTGCTAACAAAGCCTGTTCTGTTACAACCCACCCCTCCAGTTTATGTGGATTTCTAAAGCCTTGTTTGTCTCACTGGCTCTCCTCGCAGCTTCTACTCCAGCCAGACACATGACGTGGCTGACACAGGGTCATACTGACACACACTGTGCTCTCCTCACATCTTATCTGCACTTCTGTTCAGGATCATATAGCAACATGTCAATCCACAGTTCTGCTTTCCCCACTAAGTACTCTACAATGCATGTCTCGCTGTGACCCTTCAAAAGCCAGTGCATGACAACACAGGAAGTGACTGCTTCACTCAACTTTATGCAACTCCATGCATCCAGATTTGAATGATCATACTGCCCTCTCTAACTGATCTCATGCAGGGTGTGACTAGGCTTACACATGCTTGTCTTGATATATAATTATGTAATATGCAAAAAGTTGTTTTATTATGTGTCAAATGACACATGTATACCTTCTTGTTATTGTGGTTATGAATTGAACAATAATGTATAATTTCCCTCAAAGTACAATCATTTGAAGGCCCTGCTTTCCCAGGAACACAAGTGATGAATCACATAGTTTAATGTACAGAACATTCTGATTAATCTTCATTGTATGTTAGTGTTGGGACCTCTCCCTGGCAACTGAGCCATGGATCTTAATTTTACAAGATCCCCCATAGGTGTGACATGTCATTGCAACTTCTGAAAGAAATAAGGCTGAAGAGACATACAAAGCCACCAACTGGACTTTAACCTGTTAAGCCCCATAGCCCCCTGCCGGCGGGGGCAAACAAAACAATTTTCACGAAACTGTGTCTCAGGGCTTCTTAACATTTAACAACCTATTAATGTGTCATACCAACTTAAAACTCGATATTAACCATTTTTCATAACCTAAACAAAACAGACAAAAGTCTAACGCCAAGCCTCTGAATTAGCACTAAGCGAAAGAGTGCTTACGCACTTAGTACATAACTCACGGTACCAATATTTTATACTTCGTCATTCGTTGACGAGACGGGACTAAGGTGTTAATGGTGGACTATCGGACATTCAAAATGCAGGGTATTTCCCCCCAATTGTCCATCTTGTCTGTCAAAATACATCTTACGTTTCTAACTTACAATATCATTATTTCCGCTCTCTTCACTCCAGAAGAGCGATCTCCCTGTGTCTCTCTGTGTGCGGGGGCGGGGCCTAACAGACACGCTGCAGCGGCACACAGAGATCTGCCGGGGACGGAGCATTCAGAAGTATAGAGACACTCTACAAGGCTCGATGTGGACAAAGCTTGTTTGCCATTAGTGTTTTCGCGTTAGCGCGTTGACACGAGTAGAGTAGTCTGTCCAAACAGCCGGCCAAAAGGCGTCATATTCAGGCGGAGAAATACACAATTTTCGAATTCCTTAACTCGTAGCTCTGTTGCCCCAATTACAAGTAACGTTATCACATCAGGTGCGCAGAGGTGGGAGAAGTACTCAGATCTTGTAGTTAAGTAAAAAAATACCATAGTGTAAGAAGA